TCATTCACTGAATCATGCTGTTCCTTTACTACCTACTATTTGGTAATAGATATGTTTCCTTTCCTGAGAAGAACACAAGAAACCTTTTGTATTTAGCTCAGCAACTCAGATTTGCCGGCAGCAAACATAAGTCATATGATAACAGAAGTGATTTGAGCTTCCTGAGATATCATTGCTGTTTTCTTTCCCAGCCCATTTCTAGCATAGCTATCATGTTGTCCATAACCTGTGTTTCTCTGAATATCCCTACCATGTGTGCTGCAGTTCAATTACATCCTTCTGTTTATCTCTGTGTATAGAGGAACCACGCTGTTCTTTACCCTTACCTAAAAACCAAGTACTGGTCCTCAGCAGTCACCACCTCCTAAGTATGCTCTGACTTTCTCATATGGAAGAAGCCTTCTTTCTTTTCTTCTTTTTTTTTTCTTTTTTTCTTTTTGGTTTTTCGAAACAGGGTTTCTCTGTAGCTTTGGTGCCTGTCCCGGAACTAGCTCTTGTAGACCAGGCTGGCCTCGAACTCCCAGAGATCCGCCTGCCTCTGCCTCCCGAGTGCTGGGATTAAAGGCATGCGCCACCACCGCCCGGCTAGAAGCCTTCTTTCTAAGATGTCTTTCTGCCCTTGATCTCAAATGGAGCACTCTTACTGATCCTTTTGCACCAGGCCTTTGTTGCACCTCCTAGGCATCCTGGCTGGCTGCTACCTGCTCATGGCTTGGATCACCCCTGGCTTTGCTTTCTGCCACAGCCATCACACCTCTTGCAGAGCATCTGTGTCATGTTCTCCTCTTCCACAGAGGTCTTCACCATTTTCCAGCTGGAGGTTTTCAGTTCCACCCCCAACTCTTACGCCGTGTTTGTTTCATGTTTATTACAGCAATCTCCTACAGCAGAGCATTATGCTTGGTGGTTTTACTCCCTATTTGCTTTGTTTTTACTGTGCTGCTTATACTTTAAAGACAAAGATTTTTATCTTTGGATCCCTTCCTTTCATAGAGAGGTTTTGGTTGTTTTTCTAAATTAATGTACTCAATTGCTCTGAATCAGAACATCCTGCAAACTGAACTCTGTATAAGTTTTGCAAATTCATTCTTTGGGGGATAATTTTTATTCTAAGAAACTAATGTGGCTTGTGGTTTAGAGTCATGGTTTAAGCTGCCCTTATGAAGAATGAAAAGCAGCTGGTGTCCAAAGCTCCCTGGAAATTAGTCAAGCAGCTAAATGAAGAAAGGGAGCTAAGAGTGCAAAGGTTTCACGTGCACAACTTACGTTCTATCTGCATTGCTGCTTATGTAAAAAGACTCTGTTTTAGAAAACTAAGTATTACACACAAGGTGTGTTTTGTTAAAGTCACAGGCACTATATAAACATGGTTTATAACCATTTTGTGAAAGTAAACCTTGATGCTCAAATTTCTTTTGTATCATTTTATTGTACACAGTCTAAGACAATTACTTAAAGAATCTGATTTTAAGAGGTTTAAAGGATTTAAAAATATTTGTTTTATTTCAAGTGTGTGGTGAAATATCATGATGGGAAAATGCTAAAAGAATAAAGGTATCAAGATTGGTGTTGTTTATAAACATATAACAATTAGGGTTTTGTCTAAATGTAATAAAAATAGGGGCTCACTGTCTTTACACAAAGAGTTTCAAAACTCAATAGAGAAATGAAGGAGAACAATCATTAACTTCGTACCCTGTAGCCCTAAGGTTAGAGAGTTAGCAATAAGTGCCCACATGGCTGTTTGTCAAGCTTGGTTGTGATATGAACATAATACAGACATGGAGGCGACAGAGAGCATAGCACCTCAGTGGAACGATGAGGTGCACATAGCTGTGGACATGAAAATGTCCTTGAAAAAACTGTATTCTAATACAAAAGTCTTGAAAAGGGTGGAGGATGAACTGGTTAAGGGGGATGGATTAGTTAAGGCCACCTCGGATAAAGAGAAACTGGACAAATGGCTCAGCACATTGTAGAATAAAGGAACTCCAAGACAGTCTAGCACAGTTAGAGAGCACTGAGCCAAAGCCATTCTTTTTTTTCTGCAGCAGATACTGGAGAGAATGATTTGAGCCTGCAGCAGGTGACTCAGAGAGCAAATATTTGTTAGGTAGTGTAATAACATACCTTGAGTTTCTGAGGTGTGTGCTACAGGTTAGGAACTGATCTAACTTCCCAACTGATGCCAATTCAAATCAGTGTTGTCAGTTCCCACTGAGATCCAGATTTCCACCTAGCTTAAACACTGAGTCATTCGGAGTACCTGCTCTAACCTCCAAGCTACCTATTAATATATGCCTGCCAATGAATTTCAGCACAAGGCACCCAACCGAAGCAATTCTATTGATGGATTGAAACATAGGATCATAAAAGTGAGAAAGTGAGGCTATTTCTAAACTTCTCAGTGTTCTCTGTCTCTAGTCCTTTGCCCTGCTCTTTCCTCTGTGACTTCCCTCATCTGTGAATAGGAATTCTCTTCCACCTGTCCCAAGACCATACACTCCAACAATCCCAGTGAGCACCTCATCCTGGAATTGAGCTTTATCTTCATGACCTCATTACTTTCTAGCCTGCTCTTGCCGATTCGTTTATCTGGTTTGTTATTTTATTACCATCCAGAGGCCAAGGAGATTTGTTGTTTTTGTTCAAGAATGTGTGCTAGTGGCTTAGAATGGTGCCAGCATAAGATAGATGCTATGTAAGCACTGTATGTAGGCTTCAACCCACAGATTTTCACATGGTCCTTGTTTTGCTTTATAAAGCATAGTGTTTTGGCTATGGTTTTTCATTGCATTCATTGAGCTAAAGAAGATTTGTGAATATATACTATACAATTATCCACTGTGTTGGGTTATCACAAAATAAATCAGATGTAAAGATTCTGATGCCTAAGAAGAAAGCAATGAGAGAATGATAAACAGAACAAGAATAATTTATAATCTTTTCTGGAACTTTTATGATAACATATTCTGATATTCTCAGAGATATCCTTCAATGGACGTAGACTGTAGTTTATGAATGAAGAGACCCCATCCCAGTGTCAGTCTGGACAGCATCATTCTTTGGTCACACCATCTGGGTTTAGTCATTAACATTTCTGGGTCTACATGATTTCACTTGGAAAACTGTGATCACAATCCCAACTTCAGATGGCAAATGTGGGTTATCAAATGAGGTCATCAGTGGAAACAGCATGGGCTCTGGCACGAAGAGACAATTAAATAAATGCATAGGGAGTGATGTAATCCTTGATAAGAAGTTTTTTTTTTTTATTCTACCAAGCTCTGTGTTCTGCCCATGCTACTCCTGGTGACCTCTTTGACCTCAATATTCTTAACGTAGTGAGTTACATTATCCCATTATCTATCGATTGCTTATTTTGTACACTGTTATTCCCATTAAGGAAAAGGACAGATAGGCAAAGTGGGTCTTAGAGCCACTGAGGAACTTGTGTGAGTCCATAGTGAGTGACTTAGCTATGATCTAAACCAAGAGGAGCTTACTACCAAACCTGGCTCAGCGGTCATGGTCTTCATTCAAGGATTTGTATCAATATGATCATAGTCAGAAAGCACTCCCTGACCTTGTGGGCTAGGTACTGTTCCTTTCTGAGCTCACACAGACCTCAGTGTTTACTTCTTTCACAATCTATAGTAGCTTTTGAAACATATTTGCTCCTCTGTCTAAGTGCAGCCTTCCTGCGTGTGGGCAGCTGCTTCTGCTTTTAGAACTTGAATAAGTTCTCACTGAGTCCCTTTCACAGAAAGTTCAAAGAAACCCATTAAAGTTTAAAGAACAACTCTGTATCTGTGAGTTCTGATCTTATTTCTCTGCCCTCAACTCATACAGTCCTTACAACAGTCCCTTATAGCAGATGCTGACTGCATTTTTATCTTAGAGAAGATGAGAGCAGAACACACTAAGTAAAGCGCTTATGCCACCTAAAAGGACAGGACTAGAACCTGAACATTTAGACTCCAGCATCCAAAATCTTAATCATACCCAAGACTGATTATATCCTTTGTTAATTTAACAAATTCTAGTAAAGGTCATTTTAAGACTCTAAATTAGACTACTTTCATGAACTATGATTCCCCTAGATTTATTCACTATGTCTATGTTTTTTGTGACATTTTTGTGTCAGGTACAAACAACCTATTGAGAAAAAGCAAATGGTTCTAGAAGCTGACACCTATTGGTGGCCTTCATTGCATTAAACAAACTCCACACTGTGATCTCGTAAAGTGAAACCCTTTAAATCATAACTTTGCATGACTTCAAAAGCAAAAATAAAACTTAGCCCGACTCGTTCCTTTTAATACCAGCTTAATATTTTTGCTCTCTAAGTGAAATGATTTAAACATAGTCTATTTTTAAGAGCAAGCAAAGAATGTGTTCATGGCAACTTGGAACTGTGTGCAAGTAAGTGTACTGGCTTCCCTCTTATCTGAAGGACTAAGTCTTAAATCACAGGGAAGCAAGAAAAGAGCCAACGTGTTCTCTTAGAATACAAATAGACTAGTGTGGGTGAGAGCTTTGTCCAAGAACTGGGAGAGTCACCTCGCCAGGAATAAATCAAACACATGAAACCTTCAATTTCAAGCAAGATTCTCAAGAAATGTTTGAACTGATAAATATGACTTTTAGATTCAGAAAACACAGAAAAAGAGCCCCATGAAACCTGCTTGGAAAGATGACTTTGCAAATGTGGGCAGTCAGCATACCCCATTTTTTTTCCTTATAGAAAATGTGGCTTGTCAAGATTATGAAACTCACAGAAGAAAAGTCTATGTACATCCCCTCCCCGTCTCTCTCTCGCATACATTAACTCATGAAAAAACACACTTTAGCACTTGGGAGATATGCTGAAACCTTTCCCAAGATCAAGTATGTACCCTGTACCTCTTGACATACAGTAACTGTAGTCCATTTCAATCCTACTACCCTAAAAATTTCAATTTCTCACTCAGAATTCAAGAAAGAAGGATTCCTCTTACCATATATTCCATGTTTGCTGCTGGTGGGAACACTTTGCCCCGAACTTGATTATGGTAATCAAGAATGGCGATCATGTCATTCTGCGAGATGTAGCGCTTCCGCCTGGCTTTAGGGATACCCGCAGACTGTAGTGGCGCGCTCAGGGCTGCTTCAATATCAGTGAAATTATTGGTTGGCGGGGATGAGTCAGTGGAATTGAGTAAGACGACGGTACTTGCTTCACAGAAGAGGGACAAAAGGATCGCAAGGCTGACTGCAGAAACTGCTATCATTTTGAGGGGTGGAAAAGAGTTCCCCAGGTTTGTTTTGCTTTAAAGAAAAAAAGTATAGAGTTAGGGTCTTTAGAAAAGCAAGCAAGCAAACAAACAAACAAGAAAGAAAAAAAGAAAAAAAGAGCCATAGTTTAATGGATTTACAATGTCATCACTTGGGAGCATAGCTTGGGTTGATTTTCTCCCAAAATCTAAACAAATGTCTCTTGAAAAGAAAACTCCGGTAATTTCTACACTATGTAGAATGTGCTATGAATCAAAGCCCCTAAGAGAAGCTTTCCGAAGCTAGGGAAAAAGAAAAAACTAAACCACGTGACCACTTATCCTGAAATGAATGGAAACCTTTTGCCCCTTTGCTCCAAATGCCTGAACTGAAAGCTATATCACTGCATGCCTGTTTCCAGTCAGGAATCTTTAGCAATGCAAGCTGACCTTGAGACAGACAAGGAAAAATACAGGTAGCCACAAAAAATGTGCTGATAATATGTCCCAGGCATTCTATAAACTGAATGACAGAACATACAAAATCACCCTAAGGAAAAAAAATGTGAGTTGCTTTACAATAATGCATGCAATAGAATCTAGTTGAGCCAAATAGCTTACCTCTGCACAGTGCGAAAATGAATACACTGTTCCTCCAACAATGTAAGGTTCTTTGTTAAGTTGTAGCATGAACTTGTGTAAAAGGAGTGTGTCTTATTACAAGCTCTCAGAGAGCAAAAGCCTGCAAGGTTTGAATGCTGCTGGCTACAGAAGCAGCTAACAGCTTTTATATGTCAGTTCGCAAAGTCCAGAAAGGGCAGGCTCTCCTAGGGTCTCTCAGCCAAAATCTAAGGGGAGGGGTTTGGGACAGAGGGAAAGAAAAAAAAACAGTGATTGGGTGGCAACTTTTTTATGTGGGTGGTGAGGAAATTGAGTCACACCCACGGCTTACAAAGCACAAACCATAAGACACCCCTCCCCCTTTTTCTCTGAGCATCTACCTTTTCTGTGAGTGGTTAATTTTTCTTTCTTACTATTCTCTAGCTCCTGGCTCCCATACCAAAAAGAAAAGGAAAGAACTGGGGGGAGGGGAGAACTACAGGACCGAGAGTTCTTGAAAACACAGATGGCTGAGTAACAAGCAATACATTTTTTTTTTGTGGCAGCAAATGACATAGCAGCTGAAAAAAGCAAGAAGATATTAAATCAAGAGATCAACTCGCACAGTTAATCTGGGTGGCCACAAAAATTATTCAGGAGGATGCCAGGCAAGTCAGTAGTCGCCAAACTATAGTATATGATGTTAGGATAATAGATGCCCCATGGCTGTGCTCTCTGTCTCCATGCGGTTTTATTCCTATAATTTATATGTTCATGCTCCTCGCATTCCATCTTCCCTCAGTTTTTTCTTTCTCCAAAACAGGGCAGGCAGAAAATTACCTGCCTTCTACCTGCCGTTTGTAAAATGGGAATTGGCACTCACGGAAACTGACAGCAGCCAAGATAACATCTGTTTCAGGTTTAGTAGCATATAGTTAAAACCGTAGACAAAGAACAGCTGAGCTTCTCCAGCAGAATATTAGAGAGTGCATTGGAAGACCACGAAGAACCTAACAGCAGCAGCAGCAATCAAAAGGGACTTGCTAAGATGCACTAGAACAAAATCTGTGTCTGGCAGAGACAAGAATGTAAATACTACTATAATCTGTAATAAAAAGATCCACCATAAAGTTATGGCTCATTTTCTCTTTAACAAAATATGGACCATTTACAATCAGTCAGAATGATATTCTGAGAAACAAACTGTTCAGCCTGCTTATGGGACTGTCCTCTGCATGTTTCTGCAGGACGAGCACCATGTGAATTCACAGCCATCAAACCAATGAGCATGTGGCAGACTGGACTGGGAGCCAAGTTTCCTAGGGTTTGTTCCCAACCAGATCACCCACAGTCTGTGTGGCCCAATGGTTGCCTTTAACTCTTTGTGGGTAAATTTAAATTTTAAAATGACAGGGATAACATGTGCACTCTTTGGTGAGGCAGACTTAAGTAGTTTTCTAATGAGGGCAGTTCATGATCTGTATCAGATCGGTGATTCAGCCTGAGTGAATTGTGATGAGATAGCAAGGGTAAGTATCAGAGTTCAGGTTTTGATGCGGATTGGACTTCTAACTAAAGTGAAGTCAGTTTAGGAGAACTTAAGTTGTAATATTCAGAAGTTAAAACAATGAATTCATAAGCACAGTGAAGTTGAAAAATCCACAGACTATCAAGTATGGAAGGTGACAGGTAGCAACAGAAAGTAGAAAACCAACTAGAGATCACGCTCAGAGCTTCAAGACTTTACCAGGAGCTGTCCAGTGAGGCTCACAACCCATCTGATAGTCCTGAGATTGCTGAATCTCTGTCCCCAGCCTTTTTGAGAAACTAAAGTCAGCATAGGATCCTCTAGGTTTTCTACATATTTGTGCTTAGATGCCCAGCATATAGAAAGGTAATAGGATTTCAGTGCCTGCACAACAAACACGAGCCTTTCTTTCTCCAAAGTATATTTCTTAAGAGTCTCATTTTAAAACAAACAAACAAACAAAAGCACAACACCAAAAAAAAAAAAAAAAAAAAAAAAC